GTGAAAGACTATGAAGGAGACGCAGAAAGTTCTCATAGGTCATGGGCATGAGTAGTCTGATTTGCCTGATGTCGTGAAAGGCTTTTCCAAGGAAGATGTGTTTCATTTCGGTCCTGCAGGATGGGTAAGGATTGTTGACGCTAGAATGAAAAAGACAAAGGGGTGAAGGAGGATCTGTGAACTCAGGAGGGTAGGTTGGAAAGCTCAGATTTTTTCAAATCTTAACTTCCTGGAGCGCCTGGGTGGCTCAGTCAGTTAAGCGTCTGACTTCAACTCAGATCATGATTTCACACTTCGTGGGTTCGAGCCCCGCGTCAGGCTCTGTGCTGACAGCTCAGAGCCTGGAGCCTGCTTCAAGTTCTGTGTCTCCCTCTCTCTCTTTGCCCCTCTCCCGCTCGTGCTCTGTCTCTCGGTCTCAAAAATAAAATGAAACATTAAAAAAAAGTTAAATCTCATCTTCCTCATCTGTCAAACAGGAATAGAAAATGTCCTGTTCTACAGTTGTTGTAAGGAATAAGAAGCCAATAAAAGCTTAGATTAGAAGTGTAGCAAGAGACAAAGTCGAACAACTGATAGCTTTTATTGTGCTATTATTAACTTTCTTACTATTCACCTCAGAAGCCTAAGGTCTACTTATGCAAATGCAGTCTCTCATCTGACTCTGGGAATATCTTGGCATTTCTTTATTCCTTTTAATTCTCTCTCTAAAACACCGTGACACATCATTGAGCCAGGAGAAAAAAAGAAAAGAAACAAAGAAACCAGAGAGCAAAACTGAGCAAATAGGAGCTTTAGCGATAGTTATATCAAATAAAAGAAGCAGCGTATCCAGTTAGTGGTGGCTAATGCAGTTTAATTATCTTCCTATCCAGAAGGACAGGTGGTTCCACAGTCAGGGAAGCAGCTCCACGCTGACATGAAGGACTTTCCAATACTCTGCTCTACCTTCTTCAGTATTGCCTCTTGATTACAATAAGGCTGCCACAGATTACAATATGGCTGCCACAGATAACAATATGGCAGCTCAACCCTTCCCAAATGCATTCAAGACAGGAAGTGAAAGCCACACACAGAAGGAGCCTCTTTGTTTTATCGGTGAGTAAAATCTTTTCCTGGAGCCCTCCAGCAGATTGTGTGTGTGTGTGTGTGTGTGTGTGTGTGTGTGTGTGTGTAATTGCCCACTTCCATCTACAAGTGACACTGGATAATTCGCCAAGTGTGTTGTGACAAAGTTAAGCAATTATTGGTGCTTGGGGTTGCGTATATTATTGCACTGAAAAAGTAAATGAGCTGGAGAAGTGAGTGTTGGCTGTTGAGTGAGCACTGAGCAATGTCTATCACAATAATTTCGAGATCATTTGAGTAGGTAGTGCTTGGTGGATCTCCTGGGCCAACACAAGGAGAATAAACTTTAAAAAAGTGTGCACGTAAACAGTACAGCATCCCAGCTTTACATACGTGGGGAAGGATGAGGCAGATTTTAGTTCAAGTCAACATTTATCAAGTGCTAGGAGCTTTTTGTATATTGTCTCATTTATTTCTCACAAAATCTTGGAGGGAGAGCCACAGGTCAGAAAAGATAAGAGAATCCCCCTTCCGAAAGCTAAGTTTCTGAGTTCAAGGTCACAGGTTCTGTCTGGTAAAGGGCAGAAATCCCAATGCAAGTAGGTCTGACAATAATTCCGGTTACTTTTTTCTAAAAGAGTTTATTTCTCCAAGTGACACAAGAGCCTTTGTAAAAAAAAAAAAAAAAAAAAAAAAAAAAAAAAAAGCCCAAAAGTGGCTCAAAAAGAATTATAAGCTTGACACGAGAGTCCTTCCTTTCTTTCTTTCTTCCACCCGAGAACCTCGGGTACATAGTGCCTACACTCTCCACCTGTTCGGAACCCATATCGGAAAGTCCAAACTCCTATTAGGATGAGCGACAAAGGTCATTTTGTTGTTATTGATGTGGTAAGAAATCAAATGAGACCCTAGTAGTTGACTAGCTGATGGGGAGAAACAAGCAAGCAAACACAGCATTCTTCCAAATAAATTAGTGTATATCATTACATGTATGACCACTGTTGTGTTTTCAAAATTCATCGTAGATAACGCACCATTTTGGGAGAAGAGAATGACAAACCCTTCTAGTTTGGGGATATTGAGGGCTCCCATTGGAGTTTAGTTCCAAGAGCTTCTTGCTAGGACTGCCTCCTCACATTATTTTTTGGGGGGGAGGGGTTCTTATGAAGCTGGTTTATTTCCTAAGCGTATTAGGATATAAGATTGAGCTGCCTGACAAAGAATTACACAATACAATTCAGAAACTTAAGAAAGACGGGTTAGCCAGGTTTGCGGGAGGAAGCAAATGATTTCCAACGTCAGTAGGAGATAGTGGAAGCCAGTTCAGTTGATACGATTCTTCATAGTGGTAGCAAATTACGACGATCTGTCGGCACTGAGTTTATATCACTAAACTTAAAGTTCTCAAAAGGCCGGATGAAGATTTAAAATTTTTTTTTCAACGTTTATTTATTTCTTGGGACAGAGAGAGACAGAGCATGAACGGGCGAGGGGCAGAGAGAGAGGGAGACACAGAATCGGAAACAGGCTCCAGGCTCCGAGCCATCAGCCCAGAGCCTGACGCGGGGCTCGAACTCACGGACCGCGAGATCGTGACCTGGCTGAAGTCGGACGCTCAACCGACCGACTGCGCCACCCAGGCGCCCCAAGGACGGATGAAGATTTAAATGATGATGAGAGTTAGTGGATCAGTTTGTCCCTATGATTTCTAATAAGAAGGTATCTTTTCTATTTAATTTTCTTAAAAGGAAGTCGTTGACAGCGTGGGTAATCGCCACCACCAAAGGAAATGGAATAGCAAAAGAAAGAACGAAAATACACAGACAAGCAAATACGCAATCAGGTAAAACTGCCTTTAAAACTGGGTCTATGTATTTGTGGGGTAGGAAAAGAAAAAGCAGGGGGATTCCGGGGGCGTGTGGCATTGATTTTGGCAATCACGCAATGAGCGGGAGAAGGGTCCATTGTGTTGGGGGCGGGGTAGACAGGTGAGACTTCCTCCCACCTTTAAGTGCGAATCACAAATTTAAGGGGCAAAAAGGCAGCAAATGATTTAGAAAAATCCAAACTAAGAGCCTTTTGTCTGACAATATTCACATTATTATATTTGCATTGTATTTTCTTTGTCAAGATTTCCGCCTCCGTCTATCTCCTCCTAGAACGCTTTAGCAATTCCCAATCAATCCCATTCGAAATAATTCACACTGAAATAAGACAGAGGGTATCACTCCCCAGGTCGCGGGAAGCCAACACTCAGTGGAGTTAGACACAGGAGCCCAGCCTTTACAGTCATATTCTCAGCTGCTTAAACTCATTCAGGGCTGGGTTGCTAGAACAAAACCAGAAATATAACCTCTTATCTTCTGCCCCATTTTTTTTTTCTTTTTTGAGCGAGCAGATACATATAGAACAGTGGAAACGTTTCTATTCTTACAGTAAAGAAGAAAAGTAGGAGGAAGCTAGATTATGTATATATACCAGTAATATATACCAGTATATATGCAAGTGTGTGTGTGTGTGTGTGTGTGTGTGTGTGTACTTAAGTGATTAAATTTATTAGTTAGCATTACTTAGGGAAAAAAAAAGAATGCAAATGGTTACCTATTTTACAACTTGAAGTTAATTATTTAATATAAATATAAACATAATATAAATATTAAGATTTGGTTTTTAAAAAAGGTGCTTTGTTTCTCTTTCCTAAACAAAATTAGAGCACTGAAACTATGATACTTCAATTAAAATGGTTTTGCAATAATTATCAGGATAGGTAAAACTATTGAAGGGAAATCAATTGCCCCAAGTTACCATAATTTTCACTTTTACTTGATGCAGCCAGAGTTTTTATAGGAGTAATTCATTCTTCCAGTTTAAAATTAAGCTGGAATTAACTTAGAGTTAATTTGGAAGAAATTCCATTTTGGAAAAAAAAATACACCGAGATATTAACTGTTGTTATTTCTGGGATTGGAGATGGTGTATGAATCTTGCTTTCTTTTTGATTCTGTATTTTCCAAGTTTTGTATAATAAGGTTGTGTTTCTTAAGCAACTGAATCGTTTTTAGAGAGTTATTTTAAACTAATCAACAGGACATCATGTTTTCCTTGTGTTTAGGAAAAAGGTCGATTGCGTACAAGATTAAATTTGAAAATTCATTTTCATTCAGTAAACTCTCTAACTTCAGAAAACAGACAAAGACACCAGGTAAGGCGTTAGAATTGAGGCTGTTTAAATAGCGTTTTGGGGAGAGGAGCATACGTAACATATGAAATTTTTTATGCAGTGTTTAATTCCTCAAATATTTTCTACCTTTGCCCAGCATCGTTTTTCTAAATTTCCTAAGAGATATGATCTGTCATTTGCATAAAATTTTTGGTTTCTGCACTTTTAACATGTCTTTCCATAGAAAAAGCTTCCATTTTCCTTCCTTCTTTGTGCGCAAAATTTCTGTGTCTATGTCACGGGCATTTAGTGCGTTTAGATTTGAACATATTTTCTCCGGGTTTAGTGCTTACAGGGATTTTGGAAGATTCTCGCACACGGACTCCTTATAAATCGTAGAAACTAGTTCTGTCCTAGATCGGCAGCTCCCCCGCCCCCACCAATCTGTTTTTATTATTTTGCCATCATTTAAAATCTCCTTATCTCGTAAGCACTCTCTCTAACTATAACTTCAGGAACAGATTAAGTTTGCTTTTCAAAGCCATTCATCATCAGAGATATGTTTTGGTGAGTGTTTTCTTTTGTAAATCATTTTATTATTGTAAGGTACCTCTGGATGCTGGCATGATAATAGGCTATATAAATGATTTTGTCCTATATTTGTGTTGTATATGCTTTATTGTAATAGCACTCTCGGGTCAAAAGCAGCCAATATTATTCCGATTAATTCCTGTCTAGACACTCATAAATTGTCCTTTAATTTGCAGCGAGAAAACGAAGTCATATGAAGCATAACCTTTGCCGGCTGCAGAAGTCGCACCTGGTTTTTCTGGGCTGGAGGAGGCCCGCCTCCCCACGTCCTTCAAAGCCGCAGGCCTGGCTGCTGCAAGGGTGAGCATTTCGTTTTCTATGCTTCGCCCAGGTAGCCCGCCAAGGCCTGCCGGCTGGCATGCCACCCCTCAAAAGGAAAACACAAAGCCTAATCCCCCAACACAGTTTCAGACAAACACTCATTTTATTTACTCATATTCATCTCCCCAGAAGAAAAAAAAAAAAAAAAAGGAGGAGAAAATAGCTTGCTTAATCCCAATACTAACACGATATTGATTCACATTCATGTTCTCTGTTTATTGACGTGCATTGCATACAATGGGGACTATCATCATTTCGGCTACCGTGTTCCAGGGAAGGCGCAATCACATTAGAGAAGGAGATGAGGCACAGTTTATACAGCCCTAATTTTATGTAATGTAAACCTTTCAAACGCTGCACATGGGAGGGGAAAAAAAAAAAAAAAAAGCACGTCCTAATGAAAAACCAAAGGCATACCAAATGGATTTATCTTAAAGCTAATTGGCCCCCGCCCCCCCCCCCAGAATATCTGTCCTCAAAAGTCCACCATTATTTCCTAAACTTGTATAATGAAATTAACTTCTTTGGCTTTCCAGCAGCTTTCTGTATATCTCATTAACCAACTGTAAATGCATTTGTGCTTGAGAGCACAGCACAGGGTTTTGTTTTGTGACATCTAGTGTTCAATGTTTTGAAATTATGCAGGCGGTGTGTAATGCTCTAGGGCTAACTATATACAGAGCCGGAGCGTATATTGAACACCAGACAGCGTATACGTATTACGAGCATATGGCTTCTGCAAGAAGAAAGCAGATATGAAAAACACCGCACTTTTTTTTTTGGGGGGGCCCCTTGGAGATTTTTATTGCCTAGTGGCAGCTGTATTTAATAAAATATTAGTAGCCACTTGAGGTTTAAAGGTGTAACACAATTCCATTTCAATATAACAATTCCATAAATTCAAATATGAAACCTTCATAGAAGCATGATGTGGCTATAATTAAAAAACAGAAAAAAAAAAAGAACTTGGTATGTGCTCTTGAAAAACAAATTTAGGGCACATGGTACCTGTAGTCAATCTGTAACGTGGATTTGGGGTGATCATTCACATTGTTGACAGTTGGAAGTGATTCGAGGGACTTCTATGATGGAATGTGATGGTTTAATTTGGTTCTTTTTTTTGGTTCTCTGCCCACTGCCTGTAAATAAGTTTTCTTCACTTCCCTCTTGCTTTCTTGTGCCTCTTAAAGTTCTCCTTCTTTCCAGAAGTATTTAATGTATGAAAGTGCTTAAGAAGCTATCACACACTATACAAATGCTAAACTTTATTGCTGTTATTTCAAGCTTGTAAGGTGAAATTATCTGCAGAAAATGGAGAGAGACATAGCCCTCTTTGGGAGGAAGGTCGCACCTTGATAGATAGATATCCCGCCAAGAATCTAGAGGAAACAGTACATGAAAATGCTTGGAGCCTCCAGAGAGCCTAATTCATTCACAGGACGTAAGCTTTTGAATGTGACCAGAGCACAGGCCGAGGTTATGACAGCCTCCCAAAGACAGCATCTAGTGCACAGAGGAGTTTTGATTGCCTAGCGATGTTTTTAAAATGATACTTAATTGTTTTGAATCGCACACACTCTCTCCAGTTTATCACAGGCCCCCATGTCTCCCTATCAGCTTACATCTGCTCGAGCACCCAGGAGACATTGTAAGTCAAGACTCTTGATTTAAGGCATGGGAAAGGAAGGGCATGGGAGGGACACGTGTCCCAGAGCAGCGGAGAGCTAAGTGAAGTGGCAAAATGTCAGACCAAGGCAATGGCCCTAATAGTGTCTGCAATAGGAGGGTCATGGAAGAATTCTCAGCACAGTACAAATTTTATTCTAAAGATTATGTGGGACCATGCAAGGAAAGGTTTGGAAAGGGAGCAGGAAACCCAGCTGAGAAAACCTTTGAAAAAGCCCCCGAGAGGGATGATGGGGGCAGACTCAAGGCAGCATCAGGGGATAGAGAGAAGGTCAGATTTCTAGACATGTTAGAAATTCCATGAAACTGCACGGAAAGAAAAAAAAATGAAGGGAATGAAGTGAAGGGAATGTGTCGTATCGCTTCAAATATGCGAGCCTAAAGACCAAAATGAATGAGGAGCAACTAACTGAGATGGAAAAGCTGATTTGAGGAAAACAATGGTGAGTGTTGGTTAAAAGGTTGGGGGGACACAATAAGCTTAGAAACAGAGTCAGGTTTTGGACGGAGATCTTTCTGGAAACATAGCTATGAATGACATGATGGTTGCAAATTGTAGGCTTTTGCAAATTGTAACCTCACTCAGGATAGGAACAGCCATTGGGGTGAAAATGGGACCAGGGATGGTGCTCTTGGGAACCCCAATGTTCACACAATGAACAGGAGAGGAAGAAAATACAGAGGCTGAGAAGGGATAATCATAATGTGAAGAATCAAGAGTGAGGATCTAAGTTGATGCCAAAATACAGTGCTTAATATCATCGTCCTTATGATCACAGGGAGATAGATTTCCAGAGAAAGCATACCCCAAACAACCCCTTCCTCCTTTCTTTCCATAAAAATATTCTGTCTATGAATTGATTCGATTTTTAGTCACGCAAACAAGGCCCATTTTATATATACCAAGAAGAGTTCTTTCCAAACAAGCTCATCTCCGAAGCAGCTTTGCTGGAACAGCTTCTATTTTGAGACACATTTCATTCCTGTTGTGTGTGGACTGGATTACAATGTTCTAAGTGACCCTGTAGCTGATTCATTTTTCTGCGAGCACTGTGATAGGGACGGAGCTCAGGAAACAGGACTTGCGAAATTCAGAATTTAAATCAAGATGAACTTGAAAACATAGAATGTGAACCAAATTCAAATCTCTAATCCAAGGAAAGAAGAATCACAAGGCCCAATTGGGTTGGACTATGTTTGCCACAAACTTCTGCAAACATGGGTTGGAAGCAGATTTAATGTTGCTATGGTAACTTCTGAGCATTCAGTGTGTGTGTGTGTGTGTGTGCGTGCGCGTGTGCGTGCGCATGCACGCACGCATGCGTGTGTGCACTTGGGAGCGTGTGTAGTTTCTATCTTGCTTCTGTAGTTCCAAAGTAAGGTATAGCTTGCTAACAATTCAGTGTTTTTTCTTCTAGTAGCTAGAAGGAAAGTACATATCGAATCATACTTCGAGGTCAGTGATTTTTTTTTCCTATGTATTAAGACATGATGGCATTATTTAATTACCTTTGCTAGCAAGTTTACAGACAAGCATACTCGTATCGTATTGCATACCCACAAATAGGATTATTTACATCCAATCTGAGGAGTGCTGACTGGTGTCGTTGGGAACTGAAGCTGTATCAGCATTTAAATTCCCACTTTTCTGGGCAAAAACCCAAGTGAATGATTCAATTAAACTCTTTATGTTATATATTATCCAGCAGTTCACAATATAAAATGATTCTCCCAGTCTGAACCCCTGCCTTTATGATTGCAATTTGGTAGCAAGACAATTTCCAAGGACTATTTTCTTTGAACTGCAATGAAAACGTCAGGCCATAACACACTTTTTGATGCGCGTTTTATGAACGACACTCCAAAATCAACCATTATTTCAAGCACATGCGATAAATAACCTTCATTATTCATCAGAGTGTAAATATGCATTTGTATTTGCAAATATGGTGGTTTCCTGAGCAAAGCTCCTTCAGCCATTTAAGGAGGTAACAAATAGGTGTCAGCCTCTTTAATTGGTAGCAACCGGCTCCTGAGTTGCTGAGAGACAAACGGCTCATTCTTCAACATTGACTTTGCTCCTTGCCCTGTTCCCAGTACCTAGGACATGTCATATTGTAGATACTCAACTAACGTGGATTACGTGAACGGGATTTAACCCACACCCCATAGCGACGCGTGGAGATAAATTTTTTCCAATGATTTTAATGGAATGTACTTCCTGTTTCTTTTGAAATGACCAAACCCAAAGGAATCTTTTGGCAAAATCGATCAATTAGATAAACTTAACATATTGCAGTCCTGAGACTGAAACGTCGGAGGATTTTCTCTGAAGACTCTGTTGCCAGCTGCCTAACATCCTTTATTCTTCTTTCAAGACAGAGAAAGCCAAAAATATTTACGCCGAGATTCCAAACGTGTATAAAGGCAACAAAGGACATGTATACCTCACTGAACTGAGAAATCCGAGGTGGCCAGTAAAGTCATTTTGTGTCATTTGCTTCTGGCACTTAGAAGAGACACATTTCTGCCATTACTTCCTTCTGCTCCAGACCCCTAGATGGGTTTCTTGGCCAGTTTAATACTTTTTGCTTCTGCCCCCTGGGCTGATAGCGACAACTCCATCTTCTGTGTGTGACTCTCTAACTTCTCACCTCACCTTCTTCATTAGGATTATTATGTTGAATGGTCTGTTTGTCTATATATGTGTCCGTGAAAATGTACTAAGTGCCTAACACACATCAACTACTTGCTATAAGCCACACACAGGCTATATGCTTGTCTGTCTATACACACACTTGCCTCTCTCTATACACACACACACACTTGGGATACATGTATGACTCATCTTGTTATGAACGGAATGTTTGTGCCCTCCCACAATTCAGATGTTGTAGCCCTCACCCCCATGTGATGGTATTACAAAGCGGGGTCGTTGAGACTAATTAGGTTTAGATGAGGTCTTGGTGGGGGACCTTCATGATGGGATTACTAACATTACAAGAAGAGAAAGAGACATCGGAACTTCTTCTTTCCATTATGTGGAGACACAGAAAGAAGACAGTGAGTGGTCTGCAAGCCAGGAAGAGGGCCCTCACCAAGAACCTGACCATACTGACTCCCTGATACGGGACTTCTAGCCTCCAGAAGCATGAGAATATAAATTTCTGTCCATTAAGCCACTCCATCCATGACATTTTGTTATGGTGGCCTGGGCAGACTGAGACAAACTCTAAAGTGAAATCTACATCTCAATGCCCAGGGTTGATGTATCGCATCAGCTATATGCAATGTAGTTTTAAGCCTAAGGACTCCAGCAAAGAGAGGGGTTAACTGCCTGGGGCAGTCGCAGATGAGTGAATATCTAGGACAGGTTTTGAAGGCACTTGCCAAAAAGAGAAATTTGGTAGGGTGCCTTCCGGGCAGAGAATGCGGCATGTGCAAAAGTCTGGAATCGTGGAAAAGGGTGTCACATTCAGGGAACAGCCAAACGTTCAGAACGGGTAAGGCACAGTCTTGACCAGACCAGAGATGAAGTTGGTAGGGTGGGTTAGAGTCGGATGGTGGAAGGCCAAGGATGCTTTGACAAGGAGTTTAGGCTTCATCTCATTTAATGGAGAAAACAAAAACGAGAGAGAGCCACCGGATTTTCAAGTAAGCAAAGGACAAGGTTGGTTTTCTTCTTATTATGGTAAGACAATTTAACATGGCATCTACCGTCTTAACAAATTTTAAATATATATGTATATATATATATATATATGTATATACATACATACATACATACATAAATATACTGTAGTTTGAATGAAAGGCACAAAATTATACCGCAGATCCCTGCAATGAACATGGGAGTGAAAACCTCTCTTCGGGTTCTAGATTTCAATTCTTTCGGATAAAGACTCGGAGGCGGGGATTGGTGGATCGTATGGTAAGGGTGTGTTTCGTTAGAGTGACCTGCACAGCCAAGGGTAAGACGGATGACACGGGCTGGTTAGGAGGCTGGTAAATTAGTCGGTGGGAGAGAGAACGAGAGTCTCAACTGCACGGAGCGGATGGAAAGGACCCGACAGACTCGTGTTGTCCTCTGCAAGGCTGGCTTTCCACGCAAGACAAGGCATCAGCCGTCTGCCTTCTCCCGCTACCAGAACGTTCTCTCTTCCCAAATTCCTCCTTTGTCAAAGTACCTGATAACTCCACTGCATCTGACTCGAATTAGTTCAAGAAGTCAAGGTCCCTTAAAACAAAATAAAGCAGCAACAGCTTTCTGTGAAGCAGGGCCCATTTTCAACGCCATCCCCTGAACTGGAGTCGGGCAACGTTTTCCGTGGAAACGAAGTGTGGAAACCACTGTCCGTCCCATGTTGATTTTATGATATCAAAACGAGCAAGCCAACAAACAAAAAGGGTTTGTGCTAAGATTTCTTGGGGGGAGTCTCTGGATCAAGCAGGTTTATTTGCTGCAAGCCTTTTCAGCCTCTAATTCTTAATGAGCACGATACATATCTAAAAGAGGGGGACAGTGTTTTTCTTCAAATATATTGGGTCACAGGTTGCAGGTTTGAAGGGACGAGTTTGTAAGACTCTGATACGCAGAGGGCTCTGTGGTTAACGAAGCACCTTCCCTTTTGAGTTTGATTTTTCTAGATTTGGACAAGGCGAACTTCACCGTGAACACGTTAGCAGAAATAGTTGCTCAGCGTTGTTCACGCTATGTTCACCTTTTACAAGGTTCTGAGAGGGAAGGACTGGGACTCAGACAACTTTTTTTTTTCAATTCCAGGCCCAGGGATCTTCCTCTTGCACCACAAATGCCATCGCTCCCATCGCTAAAGGGAGCGAACTGAAGTGGGCCACCAGGGCAAGAGGTGAATGGGGCTCAGGGTAGTGGATTTGGGGAAGAGAAGGAAAGTTGAATGGCAAGAGTCAGACACCTACGTAAAGACTTGGAAAGCTGCCAGCGCTGTGTCAGGTGGGGGACGCAATGAGAACGCTGGTGTCTCACAGGGAATACAAATGCTTTCAGTATGCATTCTACTTATTCCTCAACATGACCTCTTGGAGTCACTGCCAAGTCAGGAGGAGCAAGAGGTTCTAGGATCCTTGTCGCCTCGTGCATTCTTTTATTTACTCGACGAACACTGGTGAGGACATAGGAATTCGACAGTGGTGTCCCCCCAGCCTGGATGTGATGTGGCCCTGTCTCCCCATGGCTAATATGGCTATTTCACAAGACTTCCTTAAGCAGAGTACTCTATTGGGCTGTAGAGCGCTCGCGATACGAAAGGTCACCTCATTCTGAAACTAACCCATCCGTTGATGAGGAAGGTTATGCCATAATTACGTAAAGTTGGAGGAGCAGCTGCAAATGACACAGACCCCAGCCACAAGCTCTCACCCGAATACCATTGGTCAGGCCATCGGTGAACATTACAGAGCACCTACCATTTGCCAGATGTGTGCTAAGCATGAGGGGGAGTAGTGGCCGAAAGAAGCAGGAACTCTGCCTTGATGGTAAATTGGACTTCACCAATAGAGCAAATGTAGACGTTCTACATTCCACATAATTCATAATTATTTTAAGCGATTGAGTAGACAATTTAAAGTAAAAAGATGCTCCAAGCCACAAACACTAGGGGCTGTGAGAAGTCCAGATAAAGGGACCTAACACTTTTTTGTAACAGGGGTGGGCAGGAAAGGCTACGTTGAGTTTCTTAAGCTCCCCTGGTCTGAGAATCTCTGCGAAATGAGGTTGTGGGACTCAAGCAATATCTCCCACAGAATGTGGTCACCTGAGTTCTACAAAGTTGAGCTGGCTTCTTTACTGAGGGCCTTGTTGGTCTTTAGTGTGCAAATACGCATTATGAATCTCAAAGGGACTCTCTAGACTGAAGAAGTTCCCAAGCTCTTTGGGGAACGTTTTTGTGCAGAATATTTATAGCAACTGGCGTTCTAAGGAAGACCATTTAGAAAGTATTTGAGTAGGTGTCTCAGGCCTCTGCCAGCTTTAAAATTCAATTATTATGTCTTCGAGCATGTCATAGGGAAAAAACAGCAGCAACAAAAAAGGAATCCAACATTAATGTGTAGCAAAGACCGGATGGGTGGGCTCTGGGAGATGGAAATTGTGGCAGAAAATCTATGGAGGACTTCCTGACAGCCTAAACTCAGATGGAAGGGATAATCGAGGCTTGGATATTCTTTAAATATAAAGTATCTAAAAAAAAAAAAAAAAAAAAAAAAAAAGAAAGAAAAAAAATACAGCAATGGCTATGCACCCAGGGAACCGACAAAGATTATTTAAGGAGATGTCATGTGGATACGCGTGACTTCGTGATTAACATGGGGATTCAAAAAGGTACCACTTATAAAAGGAAACTTCTGGGCTGAAGGATGTCCAGAAGGACTCTCAGTAAACCAGGCTGACATAAGTAGGAGGGAGACAGAATGGTGCATTCCGTTTTCACAGAAAAGCACAGGAAAATATCAGAGAGCCCTTTTGTCGCCGCCAGTGGCCCGTGGGTGTGCCTTGTCCCCCGGAGGTGGCTTCTAGTCTTACCTACTTCTTGCTGCTTGAACTTGGCTTCTTTTTTCTCGTATTTGTGGCTTTTATTACGGTGCAGGACCAGGAGTGGGGACTTTTTTTTTTTTCTTGCCTCTTGTGATTCTTCAGGTTTTAAAGCCCCCACGTAAAAGATTCTTCTCACATGCCTTCGTCATTAAAACTGCACAAACTCTTTGAATCTTCTCTCATTTTACTTCTCAGGGGAGTCTTCCACAAACATCGCAGCCAACCACGGTACGGTCCCAGGCCAGCTGGCCAATAGCACCCACTTTTCTCCACATAGAGGCAGTCATCTATATCCAATTGATGATTGCCTATTGGGTGATTTTATATGATTCTTTCATTACCTCAGGGGTTTTCCGGAATCTTCTAAAAGAACTTGCATTCCTGCAAGTGGCAGAGTGAAGGATATTCAGCATTTCTGTAACAGGACGCAAAGCAGTGAGCATCTATTCCGTGATTGCCAGGGTCAGGCCCATATAGATGCTGGTTTGGGAGGTCTGAAGGCCATGCCAATAACAGAATATAGACTTTACTCCCATGGGGCTTAAGTCCTTGTTGAAGTCGTAAGAGAGACTGTGAGCAAATGAGACAAACATCCGCCAAAACGTATTAATTGCTGTAGAAGAAGTTTGAAAATGAAGTTGTATGGTGGTTGAGAGAAGGAAATCGTACCCTTGGGAAGATTCGCGTGACTCTGACCTCACAAGTAGCTATGCTTGATCTTGCCAGCGAGGCCAAAGGAGTCACCAACCTGTGTGTGAACTCCTTCAAGCCAAAAGAACTCTCTGTGTCTAAAAATATAGAGCGATGCCCTAGGTCCTATTTACTATGATTGAATTAGAAAATTTCATCGGGGAAAACTTCACCTTCAAGAATCATCAGCAACATCGCCACTTTCCTTTTAAATCATAGTTAGACATTGTGTAATCTGTTTTGCTAGTTATTTTATTCCACAGTTTTACCGTTCATATTAATTAGAATCTATCTTTAAGTAATGAATCAGGAAAGCAAAGTGAGTGGTAACTGTTCCGAGTGTTTTTCACGTACAGAAAATATCTATTTGGGTTCTACAAAGAATCACAACTTGACTATAGGGTTCTTTTTTTAAATTTCTTTTTTAACGCTTATGCATTTTTGAAAGACCTAGAGAGACAGAGCGCCAGCAGGGGAGGGACAGAGAGGGAGACACAGAATCTGAAGCAGGTTCTAGGCTCTGAGCTGTCAGCACAGAGCCCAACGCAGGGTTCGAACCCACGAACCGTGAGATCATGACCTGAACCAAAGTTGGATGCTTAACCAACTGAACCACCCAGGCGCCCCAACTAGAGGGTTCTTCTAGCAGATGCTTTTATTTTCACATCTTATAAACTACACCATTGTCTTCTGGCTCTTAGAGCTACAGAGGAGAACTACGATACCAAACTGATTTTGGGGATGACTGACAGACATAAGTCATTGATATTTTCTTCCTAGATAGTCACAGGATTCTTTTTTCTTGCACGCAGATATTTTAACCAAGTTGTGTAGTGATTGATGTCTTTTAATCAATTTCTTTATACACAAGATCTTATTTGAATCTACAGAGCTTTACTCAGTCCTTCAACATTTTTTTCTATTACTATTTCTACCATTTCTATGTTATTTTTCCTTGTGTGTTGTTTCAACTCCATTTCTCTGGCCTTATTTTTTTTTAATGTTTATTTATTTTTGAGACAGAGAGAGACAGAGCATGAATGGGGGAGGGTCAGAGAGAGGGAGACACAGAATCCGAAGCAGGCTCCAGGCTCCGAGCTGCCAGCACAGAGCCCGACGCGGGGCTCGAGCTCACGGACTGTGAGATCATGACCTGAGCTGAAGTCGGATGTCCAACCGACTGAGCCACCCAGGTGCCCCTCTCTGGCCTCATTTTTATACATGCCAATTGTTAAGGGACTGGGTCTCTGTTGACCTCTTTTACAAATGTTTAAATCTTCATATTCTTCATTCAGTGAAAATCCCACCTCAGGATCAATTTTCTTGCAGAAAAATGTTTATTTGTTTTTGACAGCGAGAGAGAGAGAGAGAGAGAGAGAGAGAGCGCCAGCATGAGTGGGGGAGGGGCAGAGAGAGAGGGAGACACAGAATCCGAAGCAGGCTCCAGGCTCCGAGCTGTCAGCACAGAACCCGACGCGGGGCTCAAACTCACGAGCCATGAGATCATGACCTGAGCCAAAGGCAGACGCTCAACCGACTTAGCCACCCAGGCGCCCCTTAAATCTGCTTCTTTTTCAGTTCGGTTGGTTTTCCCCGCAGCTTATTTTTTAACCTCCCATTTCATAGGTCTGTAGTTTTTAGTCATTTTGTGAATATAAAGTAGATATTATTTATGTTAGTTCTTTTTTCTTATTTTTATTTTAAAAATATAGTTTTAACATTCTCTGTGAGGGCTTTGTGGTCCTCGTTATAGGTTACCAAATCTTTCAATAGTCATGTTTTACTGTTTGTTTGTTGTTTTTTTCACTGTTTATATTCAATAATCTAAAATGAGGGGCACCAGGATGGCTCAGTTAAGCACCCAACTCTTGATTTCAGCCCAGGTCACGATCTCATCGTTTGTGAGTTCGAGACCCACCTCTAGCTCCAGGCTGACAGTGCAGAGTCTGCTTGGGATTCTATCTCCCCTTCTCTCTCCGCCCCTCCCCTGCTTGCACTCGCTCTCTTTCTCAAAATAAATAATGAAACTTAGGAAACAAAGAACCTAAAACGAGAAGAAGTCCCTATCAGCCATGTGCTGTCTATATATTTGGTGGGTGGGTTCTCCTTTAATTTTATGACACTCAACCGTTTTCAACTAGGATGATCCTACTAGACTGTAGACCAGTGGCCAGGTTGATATTACATCGTACTACCTACGTCCTGATCCCGACGTCTGGGAGGAATGTGTTGAAAGTCAGAACTCAGAATTTCTAGAATATCTTCTTCAATAAAATGGTACCCGAGGAACACAAAATCACATCCACTTTTCTTATAAACCTCCTCTCTACACCAATATGGATTAGGGGGCTTTGTCCCTGATGCTGTTTGCCATACCACCAGGAAAGATCCATCTATCCCAACCGACTGCAAGCTGTGAACCCACCCGCTTTCCTTCTGTAGCCACAGAATGACATCTAGGCTCACAAGAGCATCAGTGATCAGGGGGACTCCTGAGTGGACACCCCCTGCTGGCCATCCTGTTGGCCCATCTCCTACAAATCAGAAATGTTAGTGGGATTCCGTGAGGGCTTCTCTGCTTATTACGATTTGGTGCTAGTCTCTCAGGAAGGGGCGTCACGGCTCTCAAAGTCTCCCTTCAGTCGGTTTTCGTAACCGTACCGTGTACGGTCAGTTCTTAAATTTCTGCCACCTCAGTCTCTGTTTGCATGGATGACACAGGCTTTTCCTTGGTGACAGAGACTTTGATAATTTTACTGAAAACCCTGTTGGGCCACAGGAATGGGGTTGGGGGGGGGTGTGTGTGTGGAAAATTAGATTCTCAACGTCAAGCGCCATTTAACCAGAAATAAGCCTTTTGGTTTTAGTTCCATCTTTTGGAACCAGAGTCTCTTCTCTATCTTTGTTCCAAAGAGAACAAATCTGTTCTTTCCTCTGCAGGGTGATTCTGCCGGTAATGGAGGACAACTGTCACGAATAGCCACCCTGAACCAGAGTCTCTCTCTCCTCTGGGTGAAACAGACCTATGCTCATCCAATGGGAAGACTCGTGCTTTCTCACAAGGCCTTGTTTCAATGTTTCTGTGTGTTTCTGAGGAGGCCACACACACAAATGAACATGCCACACTGGTCATTCCCTGACCAGTGCTTAAGTAGGATGGTTGCCTCCTTCAGTAGGTGACTGTACTTCCGTAATCAGAGGCAACACTGTGTCAGCTTCCTGGGTGTCACATCACGTAGTTGACACATACGGCCCTTTCTCGCAATTGCAGCCGCTAAACTTTGCCCAAGAGGCTTTGACTGAGCCACGGGTTTCTCCTCCAATAATTTCAGGCCTTTGCTTCTTTGGAAGGAAGCGCGGGACCTCCCATTTGTTCCGCTTACGTTACTGTATATTTGGGGCATCGTTCACACCGATTCGCATTCTTTCACTCGCTGCGTCCAAGATCCTTTCTGGGTCTGTTGAAGCATATTTGACGGGCGCGTCTTCTATATCATCCTTCTGATCCCGGAAAAAAGAAAAAAAATGCGGAACTAGAGGAAGCTGAGCACAGGGCGGCCATGACACGCCCTTAGACACATCTCCACCACCTCCCCGCCCCCCACCCCGCACCGTATCAACTCACTTAATTGCCCATGCCTGGGAATATGAACTAAGTCCAGAACCTGCTCGTGATCTCAGATTTTACCCCTTTGATCACTGGAATGCCGGGAAGGGCTTTGTATACTCAAGGGAACTTTTCAGAAGAATTCTTAATTTTCTGTGTGTGTGTGTATATGTGTATGCGTGAGCGTGTGGGGGGTGGTTCTGTATGTGCGCCTGCACATTTGTCTGTGGCTGTGTGTGTGTGTGTACGCAAGAGATTTAGGGGCTCCCAAATATCAGAAGAAAATTCATTTCCTCTTCAATAAGAAGCATTATGAAATAGCTTATGGTACAGGAGCGAAGTCCCAGAA